GGGGGGGAATGCAAAATATGCTGCCATATGATTATATGCTTAATATAAAAACTCTGGAAGTTACATAAAATACTAGTAATAGTGATTTGTTTTGGAAAAGGGAATTGAATATATAGGAAAAAAATGAGTTAAGTCATCATCAACTCATTTTTGTTCATGTACCTCTTTTCCATTAAAGCACAGACAGGGCCTCCCTGGGCACAGGGGTTGAGTCTCAGTGCAATCAAACTCACCAGCCACTGCAGCCAGAGTTTGACGCCAGGCCAGGGAGCTGACCCATACGATGCGGCAGACCTCCTGTTTTGTCCACTGCTATTTAGCGGTGTATTTCAAGAGATCTGCCTGATCTGCTTCCTACTCTGTCTCTGGTGAATCCTCTCATCCCCTAACCTGTGGCTTACAGCGCAGTTCTTCTACACAATTGCAAATATCTTACAATAAGGGAATAATGCTTTAAATGCAAAGAAAAAAACTTAGGTAATACTATATGCACAACATGGAAATTTCCCTAAGGCATTAAGGAGTTTAGTGGGAAAAGTGCAGTATACATTGGAAATCTCATACACACACCTATACAATGTATATACAAAACAAGTGTGTAAATACACTGAACAGAAAGCTGAGGAATAAAAAGCCAAGGAAATAACAGGTTGCTACCCCAAGGGAAAAAACTAGAATGGCAGAGTAGGTGAATTCTCTAGGGTTTTTTTTTTTCCCCTTAGCACAGAGTGAAATCACATATTATCTGTATAAATAATTTTCATGTATAGCCACAATTTTTTAAAGATTTATTTACTTACGCATATAAGAATGGGATACAGGCCAAAGTGCAGGGGGGTAAGCAGATTCACCACAGACGGACTGTGGAGCAGAACAGGCAGTGACTGAGACACACTGTTGAGGGGAGCAGTGGGCAAGACAATGCTGTGCCATGTGGGTCAGCAACCTGGCCAGCTGGGAATCGAACTTGTGCTGCAGTGGTCTGTAACTTGATAGTGATCTTTAACCCCTGTGCACCAGGGAGCCCCCTGTATAGCCATTATTAAAAACATGTTCTAATCTGTCTTATATTTATGCCTCTTCTGGGTCAATCATAGAAAAGTACTTAGTACTTGGTCACAGAATCCCTTGCCAAAGGATCAAAAGTCCCTCAGATATAACACTTGCTATTCTAGTAGACTCCCATATTCTAAGCACTAAATCTGTTGTTTTTTTTTTAAAGATTTTTTTATTTAATTATGCATACAAGAAGTGGGATATAGGCCAGAGGGTGAGAGGATTCCCCAGTGACAGAGTGGGGAGCAGACAGGTGAATTTACTGAAATGCACAGCTCAGGGAAGTAGCAGGAGAGACAGGAGAGGTCTGCTATGCCATGTGGGTCAGCTGCCTCGCAAACTCAGGTCACAGCAGCTGGCAACAGCTTGATAGTGCAGAGACTCAACCCCTGCCCTACCACCAAGGCCCAACACTTAATCTGTTTATATACTTTTTACTTGCCCGCATGTCCTAGTATAGTGCCTTCCATTACCTGGAGTTCTTAGTATATGAATGGCTGCAAGGAAATGAAAGGAATGTCTTCATTTAAAACCACCTTTATCACTATTATTGGGATTCATACCAGTATTTCTTTGTCACCTGGCGGGTTCTAAACAACTCTTGGACTTGATGTGCTACTTCCTTTTCCCAAGTCAACACCATTACACCTGTAGTTTCTTTATCCAGCCGGTGGCACAGATGCAGGGGTTCTGCCTTGTGACCATGAAGGATCTTTGCCAGGGTAGGCAGCACATCACTGATGCAGAGCTGGACCCCAGGGCCACCTAAGAAGGGAAAAGTCAGAAGTATGAGCAGTCAGAAAAAGATCCCATCAAAGAACTGTACTTGTGGTTAAAAAAACTTTTTTCTTTTTTAAAAGATTAATTTATTTATGCATATAAGAACTGGGGTATAGGCCAGAGGTGCGGAAGGTGAGATGATTCAACAGAGACGGAAGAGCTGACCCACAGGGCACAGCAGACCTCTCCTGACATGCTCGCATTTTAATAAGATAGCTAAGTAACCATCTACATAAGCATTGCCCTAGAGCATATGGCTTTTCCCTCAGACATTTAAAATAACAAATCTATTTATGTACTTATAGTAAAACTGGCAATCAAAATGAGGAGGCCTGATAATTCACTTAATAAAGAAGGACTTGATAATTTGCCAAGTAAACTTTAGTGAGAAATACAAGACCATGAGGCCAGACTGAGGCATCACGTAAGAGATAACATGATGGACTCTGGAGTGAAACAGTCCTGGGTTCTACTCTACATTCCCTCTGAATTAATCATTTGACTTGTTTCAACTTCCATTTTTTTCATCTATAAAATTAATCTACAAGATAAATAACTCATGGGGAATGAGAAAGCAAGAAGCTATTGTAAAGATAATGAGAGAAAAAATACACAAAAGTACTTAGCAATATCTGACTTAATTGCTTGGCTTTCGGTATAATCCTCTCTGTGACTCCCCCCAAAGCATTCTTCTTCTTGCTAACATACACCCCCTCAGCAAAACCCTTCCATAAATGAATTTTCTGTATCACTCCTGACTCAATCTGCTTGTCTCTGAAAACTACATTCAACATTTATTTTACAACATTTGAGCATCCATTAAATTCTAGGGAACTGGGAGTTTTGTTAGGTATACACACACACAAACAAATACTACAGAGCTGTTAAAAGGAGGTAGTGTGCATACATACTTTTTTTCTTATGTTATTACCTAGCTCTCAGTTTTGACAGCAAAATAACCACACAGCCTTTGTATTTCTATACACCAATCCTTGTATAGGTCTGTAAATCACAGTACTGCGAGACATATGAAAGGTGAGGACTATACGTATCTGTGTTCTCCACAGTACCTTGTACAGGACAGTACTCCATAACTGAAGCTTAATTATTTTGAATGCAGGAGGCTTTGGAGAATACCACAAGTAATGTGTGCTTAACTCCAGCAGAAAGCAGCACGACAAGCACTCTTCCACCCACCCTCACCCCCACCCCCCCAGCGCCACCCCCGACCTAATACATACCATGCACAGGGAGACCATAGGGCTTATTGATGACCACAAGATCCTTGTCCTGGTGGACAATGTCTCGGCTCAGCGCCTTAGCAAGAACATTGGGGTGAACTCGCTGCAGTTGCTGTGTGAACCTCACTAGTTCACGCACTCTCCGCTGAACAGGGTTTGTGGGCACCTAAGGGAAAAGGAGTAGCGACAAATGCCTGATGAGAAAGAGGTGGGAAAGAACTTCAGTAAGTGAGAGCAATAACGTGAGTAGAGAAATGACTGTATCTTTGTATTAGACTCGAGTCTTCCCGAGTTGAGGGCGGGGATCCATGTCTGCTTGCCTAAGTATCCATGTAATGCTCATGACTGAGCTCTGCAGAAGTCAAAACCCAGCCCAGAGCTTACTGACCTCTCCCACCTTTTACTTAGCAGTTACTTGACAGCAGTTGACTTAAGTCAACAGACCCTTCCTACCTCACTCCCCTCCAGGGAAATCAAAGAGTGCGCAGCCTCTTGGGAGTTGTGGTCCTTCCGGACTCACCGACTCCTTCCTCGTCTTTTGCTCCTGTTTCTGGGCTCGGAGCCTCTCTGCTAATCGTTGGGCATCCAGGGGCCTAGAGGCAGCAGTGGCGGTACAAAATGGCTTTGACACGAGAGCGAAGAGACTCCCGGAACGCTGCCCAGTACCCCGAACCCAGAGGCTCGGAACGCTACAGATGGGCGCCGCCATCTTGCGAAGGAGGGCGGGGCGCACAGCCACGTGCACCAGGGTGCTGCGAAGGAGGCGGGAGTGGGCGTGTTCTTCTGTCACGTGGGGGGCGGGCTCTGGGTCGAGTCACGTGGGGGCAGTGCGCGCGATGTGCGGCTGCGCCGGCCGGTAGCTGCAGCTGGAGCGGTGGCGTTTGGTGGAGACGCGGTGAGTGTGTCGCGAAGCCGGGACGGGGCTGGGTGATGCCGGTGTTTCCAAGCTTTGAGGTTGACAGATCCCCAGGATTTCCGTTCTCGAAGACGACTGCCCTGGGAAACCGTTTCTCCCTTTGGGAGAAGATCCCACTCGAAAACATCTCCCCGCCCCCGCGCCCCCTTAGAAGCGATGCCCCGTAAACGCTCGCCTCGCAGCCTTCGTAGGCGCTACCTCGTCCCGGGAATCACATCCCGGGCGTGAGGTCAGTCCCGGAGGAACGCTTCGCAGCCCCTTATATTTCTTCACATCACGACCTTTGGAGATGCCCGGATCTCGGAATCCCCTCCACTTATCTCTCAACTCCCAACCTCTTTGTTTCGCGTTGTAACCTGTCCTCTACCAGGGATGATGTGCAGCCCTTCCGTCATCCAGCCCCCCGATCCTGTACTTCCTACCTGGGGAACATCTTGGGTTTCTTCTGTCCTTCCTCCAGAATTCATTTCTTGGCATCTTCTCTCCCCAACTCTTCCTTACTTCCCAAGGAAAGACTGAAAGTACGTAGCATGGTGTTTCCTTTTGCCCCTCTGCTTCCTTCATTTTACGGTCTATAGTTTGCAAACGCTCCAAACCCTCTCTCCCTCTCAGAAGGTACAGCGTTGAGACGCCGGTCCCTAAACTGCGAGCGAGAACCCCTGATTCTAAGGGAGGCTAGGAAGATAAACATCTGGTTGGGGCGGTGATGTTAAGAATACTGTGGGACATACCTACCATGTGCAAGACAACTGGTAATGATGAGTTCTGAAAATGAATAGATCTGGATGGACGGTAGAGGCAATCATTTTTGAAAGACTGCTTAGAATAACGGCTGCTCGAGGAATTGGAGTAGGCAGTGCAATTAGGTTTGTGTCCTCCCCCTCCAAAAGTGATTGGCAGAAGGGAGCCATATTGAACGTGAAATAAAGTTGAACAGGTAAGTGGAGCTAACTAGCCTATTGAAAACTTTAAGTTGAAGAAGTATTTGAACTCGAGTGATAAATGGTAGGAGTCTTTGAAGCTTCCTGAGGAGGAGAGTTTCCTTGACAGCGGACTTCTGGAAATGATGTGGCAATTGAATGCCGGACAAATTGAAAAGGAGAGGGCTATACAGGGGAGTCAGCTAGGATGCTGCAGTTTGGGTGATCACTGATGAGGTTATTATGTCTGGTTCTGTTGTCTTTTTTCCTTACACTGTAGTATACTTTGAGTTTGAATTGACTTTGATTTGTACAAGTCAGGCTGTATGATGAGCAGCTGCTCTTGAACAGTGAGTCCTCTAAGGACCTGTGGTTTTTTTTAAATTCCACATTTGACACAGTAATCTGACATATATTCAATAGAGGTTGAAGTGCATCGTAGACATGTGATAAATTTTCTTATTTCTATCAGTTTTTGACCTCGACAATGGAGGTAGAGTAATAACGTATTTGTACGGTGTGGGAAAGACAACTTGTATATGTTTCTGTAATGAGGCTGGTGCAAAGAATTCCTAGGAGTTTGAGAAATGACTCCCCTCTCTCCTCTTTTTCCCCTCTGCAAATTTACTATCAAAACATAGCTTGATAGAGGTTGAGAAATTCCACCTTAAAAGAATTACTACCTTTTGCTCGTATGCTCCTGACCCAGATTCTAATTTCACCAGTCAAGTAGTTGCATATCACATGTTACTTAGGTATATGAAGCCTTCCTTTTCAAGGACACTGGAATTTTACACCAGGACTTAAAATTTGTATTGTTACCCTAGTTCCAAGCTTATTTTGGGTATGGGCTTTGATGATTTTGTGTGAGGACTACAAAAACCTGTTTCTGCCTTACCCTGTCCACAATGACATTCAAGAAGTGACACCTATTCTGACCAGACTTCACCCTGTGTGGCAGGAAATAAAATGAAGAAGCAACTCAGATGTCATTGCTAGTGATAATATGCTCGTGCTCTTAGCCTTCAGGTTAAGCCGAGATAGACTATGGTGCCCAAGAATAAAAAACACAGGTCTTTTTTTTTTTTTTCCTGGAAAGGTTCTTCTAAGTTTTTCTTGTTGAAGCTTTATAAGAGAAGTTTGAGAAATTCAGTTTTTGTTTGTTTGCTTGGTATCACAGTACAGTGTGGGTACAGAAGTTAATGTTTCCCCTATGAGTGTAGGCACTTGGTGACTTAAGATTTAGTTTCTGAGCATACAACAGTTTATTCAAATACAATGTTTGCATTTTGTTTTCAATGCTATGTTGCCTTTTCCCCCATCAGCATCCAGTTGATCCTATTATAGGCTGTTCATTTTTCCATGTTTACACAACACTCGTATCTCTTGTCTTGACTATTTTCTGAGTACAGAAAAGAAAATTCGGTTGGGGAGGTCTCCACTCTTATAGGGTACTAACATTGCTTATTTACACAAATTTTGATATAGTATTATACTTGCCCCCAAAATAACCATAGAAAGAAGAGCTTGATAATTACTTTTTAAAGGAAAGTTCCTAATTCAGGAGCACAGATCTATTCAAGGATTGACTTGGATAATTAGGAACTTGAATATAAACATGACAAATTTAAGGTTAACTAGTAGCATAGTTAAGTTCTGTCTTCTCAAACATTGCTTTGCTAGTTGCAGACTAACCAGCAAATCAGTTTCCCTAAAGAGCAGGTGGTACTTGAACACTTTTTTATGGTTTTAAAAAGATTCAAAGAAGCAATTAGAGGAGCTCTCTGGAAGTGCCCTAGAAAGGCCATTTGTTGGGAGCCCAGAGATCTAGGGACTAGTTCCAGTTCAGCTGCTTGTGAACTTGAGCAAATAATTTAGGCTTTTTTTTTAAAAGACCAACGGGTCTTTTAAAGGGTCTTTTAAAAGACCCTTAAGCTTCTGTTCTTTGAAGATCTTTCCATGGACACTTAAGCTCTTACCAGTTTGTTTCAGACTTATGGTGACTACATTTAGCATTTGCACCGAGAAACAGCATTCTGACCTTGTCCCCAATATTTAACCTCATGCCGCTGAACTAACTACTCAATGAACTAACTACTTCATTGAGTGATGCCTAAATGTATGTTACGATTTCCAGGGAGACTACAGATAAAAAAAATCCCAGAAAATTAGTATATGAACATTGCCGTTAGGTCTTTATTTTATACCAGCATTTTAAGGAAATTCCATTATATTGATGCCCTCATACTTTATTCAAGTTTGGAAGTAATGATCAAGACTGGTCTAGCTTAAACCAGTACTTTCCCAACTTTTTTCATATCATGTGAAAGTAGTTTTATCATTGAGGAGGACAAGCAGTGCCCCGAAGAAGACAGGAGCCTAGAGTTGTGGCTCTAGGCTCCCATACCACAGGCAGAGGGGAACCTTATAGAATGACCGTTGGGAAGGTCATCACTACACATTCAGGGCATCTGCCCCAAACACAGCCCACCAGGAGGAACTGTCTTATGAATTCTTTTTGCTGACTCTGCCTCTAATTTGTTTCTCCCTTATAGTCTTTATGTGCTTGACTAGCCTATATTTAAAAGCCATACTTGTCCTTACAGTATGACCTTTCTGAAAGTTAACTGATAAATAGATGGGGAATGCTTCTGTCTTGATGATTTGACCTCATTAAATGATGGGCAATCTTGCTCTTCCTGTTTAGAGAAGATAGAAGATTTCTTTAAATAGCTTATTTTATACAAGTAAAACAGAAAATGTGAAAATTGCAGAAACAATGTGAGAAAGTCATTATAGTTCTGTTTGCCAGATACTACTAATATTATCTTTTTTCTCTGCCTTTTTTTTGGCATGCAGTTTTTTTTATTGTAAATTTCAAGCATATACGTAATAAGTTAGAGAAAATACTCTGATAGTCTCACCCAGTTCTCCAAGGAGCCAATAGGCCAGTACAAGGCAGACCTGTTCTACACCCGACCCTTACCTCCCAGATAATTTTGAATTAAATCCCAACATATCTCCATCTGTAAACACCTCGCTATGTATCTGTAAAAGATAAGGACTTGTTTCTAACGCTACCATAATATCATTATCACAAAAAAGGCCTTCATGCCACCAAGCAGCCAATTGAGTGCACACATTTTCCTTTCCTCTCATTTTACTTAAACAGAGGATTTGTTTGCATTAAGAGACAAAAGGTCCGTGTGTAATGCACATAACCTTTAATTAGAAGAATAAAGCCAGTGGGCACTACAAGGAGAAATGTGCCTTGAGGATGCTTAAAGGTCATTGGCCAAAAGCTTGCACTTTGGAGTCAGTCAACCTGGCTTCAGATCTCTCCAGCCTGTTCCTGGCAGTAACCTTGTGCATGTTACTTAACCTCCCTCACTTTGGTTTCCTTATCCTGCCAATGTGGATAGCATTTAAGACTGTAGTGAGGAACAAATGCATTAGTTCAAGTTAAAGCACTCTTGTACAGCCTAGCACATAGTTACTGCCCAATAAATACTCGCTAAGCCCAGCACATAGTATAGCACCAGCTGCATACATTTGCTGAATATATTAAAGCAAGAGCCTGGAGCTGGGAAATTTAAACAAATATGGTCACATCGATGTTTCACTTCAAAGTTTGGACTTCAAGTTTCTCACCCAAAAAAGGGTGAGTCGTGAACAACTCAGTGATCTCTAAAACACTAACCTTTGCAGAAGAAAGTGAGGCCACTTGGTATTTTAGAGTGTGAGTTTGAAAACTGGGGTTTGCAGCAAACTTTTGTCATTTACAAGCATTTAACCTCCTAAGCTTCAGTTATTGCATTATAAATGTGGTGGGATTAATAATATCTTCTTAATAAGATTGTTGTGATGAGCAAGGAGCTAAATATAGGTGGTGTCAAGCATGCAGTATTCAAATTATTAGTAGCATTTCATGATTGTAAGATCAGGTAAGAATGTTACATTTGAGCTTTTTTCAAACAGTAGAGAGCTGTGTGTTTTATTTGCATTTATATAATCAAGGTACTTTATGGAATAAGGAATATTTCCATGCACGGGGGAGCA